TAATTGATAAACTTAACGTAGGAAACCAGGGAAATCTTTTTCTTTTTTTTTTCTGAAATATATTTTGCAAGCCTTAGTTCATATCTAATTGGGTTAGGATTAGAGTTTAGCTTCATAAAGCCGCTAATACTCTAATTTTGCTTCAGGAAGAATAGGTTTTGACCCAAATACATAACCTCACATTTATATTGAAAACACCTGATTAAACTAGATTAGTGGTGGGACAAAAGGCTCTACTCATGGAATTATTAACAGCTTTGCATTGTTTCAGTTACGACTTAAATATTGTTCATACATTCAAATCTGCAATAATTTTAACATAAACACGCATGTAATCAGTCCATAAGAAAGGACGACAGTGACACAACACGTTCATTCAGAGAAATCAAAGCACATGTTAGATCACTGAACAAGACAGAATCACAAGACATGATCATTCTAAAAAATGTTGATAGCAGTCGGAGCTGAACATTATTATATAATGAGAAGGAACAAAGTCACCAGTTTGTATTGTGAGGCGGGATAGTCTGAACCTGTTGTGACCAATGTCTAACTTGTTCCTCAATCCTGCCTGGTTATGAATAATGAATTGAAGATATAGTGGTGGATTTGCATCATAAAAGAAAATGTCATAAAAGACTACAGATTGCTTGACACCTTGTATATAAATACTGTAACCTGCTGATTACTGATTTTCATGAGCAAATACAAAAAAAAAAAAAAAAAGAGTCAAGGCACTAGGCTATTGCATTGCATCGACTCTAAACCAGGAGGATCCATTGCATCGGCTCTAAACCTGGAGGATATAGGTCGCCTTCTGCTGAAGTCAAATGCAGCCCCATACATCACCACTAGTGGCTATATCTAGGTCATCTATACCATACATTAAAAGATCAAATTGAGATGTCAACCAAGTCACCTATATTTTGATGCATGAACAACAATAAAAGTAGAGGACCAAAGAAAAACTGGTTAAAGAAAGGAAGAATGAAAGAATAATGCAGGGATTGGAATTAGGTATGCTGTGGGGTACTACAACTAAGAATCCCAATAAGCTATCTAATGACATGCATGGTAACATGCTAGTACTATGCACCAAATCCCGAAGCATTCAGTCTGGCATCAAATAACTAGAACAATTCAATTCAAAGAATCAAGTAGGATGTATATCAATATACACAGCAAACAGGCTAACTCTAGCAAACCACTAATCCTACTCGGGGCTGGTGGCTACCCCTCCCAACAAGTGTCGTTTCCAGGTTTCAAACTCTTGCCAACAGGTAGGAGCCCGTCTGGGTACAAGCTTGCCTACCACTGGGCCAACAACTTGTTGGTGTGCGTTTGTGTGTATGTGTGTGTCTCAAAAATTTAGAAAACATTTAACAAGCCTAGATTAGGGTTTTGCTCGGAGTGGTTCTATGAGACTGGAGGCAACAAATCATCTTTGTCATTATCTAGAAAACTTTTTATTGTGTGAAAGATAAAGTCAAATCAATTTGTCATGCAAAACACAACTCATACAAGTAATAATTTATTATTTGAGAAAGCATGTCAAAGAAACCAAGCTAATTGCAGAACAGCAACTTCAGTTTCAAACAGTGCAACAGAAGTACACACTATTGGACATGCCTGACTGGTTACTAGCTTTTGCTGAAAGAAAAAAGATGCCTTTGATGACATTCTGCAACTGGCCAGGAAATGCAACCAAAGAACTCAGGATAAATGCTAATCTTCATCATCATCTGCAAACAAAGAAAAGTTTATGCATGATTAGAACCAAAAGCATATAAAAAATAAATTGTATTGTTGAACAAATAGAATTACACTAAATTGTAAATTTAACAATATATGAAACTTGCAGCAAATCAACTTGACTATAAGAAAACAATTTCAGACGGTGAATACTTATCAGTATCACAACTCTTAACAATGATATTTCTATTTAACTGAATTCTATAACTTTAAACCGTGTGAACTTATATGAGCTACATTTGTTTATCTTTTCTTCTTGTTTTTTTGAAAGCTCATTGGCTTACATCATAGAAACTTTCACAAACAGAGTAAGAAGTCCCCAAAATGAAACAAAAAAACGCTTGTTAGAGGGAATATTCTTTTGTTTTTCAACAAGCAAGTTATTGTCTTATTGATCACACAGAAACTGCTATTTGTTATTTTTCATTTTCCTACATGGTCATAAACAAGTTGCTTACAGCAAGGACATTTAAACATCTGTGAGAAGCAGTATTATATGATACGGTGCTAACGTGCAGGATGTAATCTGCTCTTCGCTACTTCTTATGGGACGATACCTAAACCCATGCATGTGAGGATTCAGGAAAAGAGATCAGATGCATATGCATGCCGACATGGCAATTTGATATTTGAGACCACAACACACCTGCAGCAGTCAAGTCTATGGACTACGAAGGAATACGTAAAATGTTTATGCATCAGGAAATCAAACTCAAAAATATAACTGAAGCATTATTGCAAGTGGAAAATGCTAATATTGTAGTCGTGTATTCTCCGCTACCTTCAGCAAGGCACAGACAACACAAATACAACCAAACAATTGTAATATGTATGCCTTATGAATGACTGCAAAGTAATAACTGTAAACATTTAATTATATTCATGTTTACTTGCATCCTCAGAAAACCTTTCCATACCAAATATGTACAGCAATCATGAGAATAGCCAAAAACAGCATGCTAGCCTCAGTATCTTTCTGAGAATAGTGAAATAATGCAGCTATAACTTCAACAAACTGAGCATATAATGCAACAGTTTTATAAGGAATTTAGTAACATCTACTTTTTCAGTTCCTGTTCTACCTCATAGTATGGTGGAAATTCCCAATAGCAAGGACTTTCAAGCCTCTCACTTCAACTATCTACATCCTGATAGAAAGGGGTTTGTTCTACTCCATAAAGGCATAACCTTCATGGCAGTAAGTAAACCTTCAGTGTTTTCCAAAGGTACGATTTGTCGACCAAAAAAGTAGCAACAATGAATGTCAAGCCATCAAATGTTTGAACTAAACGAAAATTGTTTGAAACTGGATTTAGCACCCTTTTAACATGCAACACCAGATGTCTGAAAACAGAAAGACAACAAAAATTCAAGTACTTTGACAGGTATCACGCTAGGTTGAGCCTAGACAAGTTATTTTTATGCAGCGCCCCTGCTAAGAATCACCTATCTCTCTTCTGCTCAGCCCACTCTCTTTCTCCTTTCCTGCCTACACCGCCTCCTCCTCCTCTTTCTCCTCTCCGCCCCCCCCCCCNGAACATCATGCTCACCAACCTCATCCAACCACCCACCGCCTCCTGCTTTTCCTCTTTCTCCTCCCCTCAACCACGTTCACCGACTCCTCTTTCGGCCACCCCTCAACCTCTAACCTCCTCTTTTCACCTTGACCTCACATGTCGCTTTCCCTCAACTTGTTCCTTATTTCATGAGAGGATTCTACTTGAAGGTCGGAAGGAACTTGGAGCAATAGCTAGTAATGATTGCATTTAAGAGTTAGGTTTTCTTTCCTTATAAAATTTACATTAGCTATTAACTTCTTGAGTATTTGTTGTACATTGTCCGCTACATGTTACTTTACCAAATTAGTACAATGTGCATGGTATTTCATTACTACTGCATGATTGAATCTAAGTATTGCTATACATCTATGTTATGTTATGCTTAGGATCTCTATAAATCATCACACATGCATTTGTAGAATTTTTCACTCATTCTTTGCTTATTATATAATTTACAGATTTTTTTCCTGAATTTTTCTTTTTCTTTTTCTTTTTATTTTATTTTTTGTCTCTATTTAAAATTTTAAAAAATTGACTTGGCAGTTCTTTTCCTGCTTAAGCCCCAAAAAGCCTAAGTTGAACCTTGTTGCTTCGCTCCGCTTTCCTGCTTCCACAAACTTGGACAAGTTAAATCTGTCTTGCACTCTTACAATAGGAATATGCCTTCAAGTGAAATTAGCTATTTCCGGTCCAATCATACTACCGACATCAGACTAGATGCATCTCTAGAGCCAAAAAAAAAAAGAAACATGTCTAAAAATTAGAAGACAACCTTCAAAAATTTTCCGTCAAGATGGTCATCCTCAAATCCAATGTCACGATAAAATCAAACTGGAACAGTTTGTTGGCTTTCTCCAACTTGTACACAAGTCAACTCAAGATTTGTGTAATTGATATGTAATTAAATACTCGACAGTCATGATCTCGCTGTTGACACAAACATTACAACTCTATGACTCCATACTCAAAAGGTTCTTCCTTAAGCTATATTGGTAACTTGCAAAGTATATTCATCAATCTCCAATGTGGCTCCAAGGAATTTTCTTTTTATCCATTTGTTTTAAACTGGTACACAATGCTATGTGCAACGAACATATGATACCTTTAGGATCTAGGTAAGCAGTCAACTAACAAACCTATACATCCTATTATATACATAACTAACACTACAGCAGAAGAGAAAAAAATCTACTATATAATATTGCTCTTCCACAATGGTTGGAGCAAATAAGCAACCTTTCTCAAATAAAATAAAACATGAGGTACAATGGTAGCCAAGTAATTAAAAATTAATTTTTTAAATTTTGCCTCCTACGGGTTTCGCCATGCGTCTCGTATAGATTAATCATCAAATTCATCTCCATTCAAAATGCAAGGAAGTAAGCTCCAGTTAAGTGAAACACCTCGGATTCAACGAATCAGAACATGTGTTAGTCATGTAATGTAAGCAACATTTGTTTGTAAAACTAAGAAGCCATAGTTGAAAAAACTCTGGTATTTATGAGCGAGAATTGAACTTGTTTCAACATATACATTCATAGATAGATTAACACACAAAAACCAGGAGCTTGGCTCGTAACTTGTTAAAAAGTTAAACAATCAACATAAAAGATTAAACCCAAACTGAATAAATGTCATGATTGAATCTATCAATCATATCCAAGAAGAAGAAACGAAAGAAAGAGACGAGACTCTACCAAAGTATCTGCGCTCGTTGGCGGCCCTAGCTTTCTCGAGCATCTTGTCGAGATCCTCTTTGAGCTTGTCGTCCCATTTAACCAGCTGATTCACGAAGATCGCCCCCAATCCCATTCCAAGAACATGCTCCCATGGATCTGATCAACAATCAAACAAAGTTTACCAGGAAAAGATCAAATTGATGTGCAATTAGACGTAAAGAGAACTGGATAAAATTAGGGTTTTTGAGAGAGGTAAAGAAGGGAAAAGGCAAGGTACGGCGCATGTAAGGGAGCTTGCGAAGGGCGTTGGAGTACATTTGGGTTCCCAGACCCAGCAGCGCTCCCAACATCGTCGCGGTCGCCGGCATTTTTTCCCCCACCTCCCGTCTTCTCGCTCTGAGCGACTGCTGCTTACTAACTAAAGAGGCTTGCTGGCAGTTTTATCTCTTACTAGCTGGAATGCACGTGCACCGTACGTGAGTAAATATTTTAATTTTTTTACTTTAAATTTATTTATTTATTATAATATGATTGAAAAAAAACTTTATAAATGTCATAGTATATTAATTTTTTTTGGATATTTATATGTGTGGTTTTAACATTTTGTCTTCCAAAGAAATAGTTACGTTTAAAGTCTTAAAATATTAATAATTTAAGATTAATTAGTAATTTAAATGTATAATTTTAAAATATTAATGATGTAAGGCACCGATACTAAAAAAAACTATTATTATTAATAAAAAATTAAATTCTTTAATTCATCAAAGAAAAACGGTAGGCTTTATCTAGTCATCAAGGATTTTGTTCAGTTATAAAAAAATCACTTACATCTATGGTTTACTTTCATTGTTGTTTATCCGCGACCGAGTATTATAGATATTCAAAAACTTTGTTCTAGAATTTTCTAAACAGAATGTGCAAATTCAATCAAAAAATAAAATATAAATTATGTGATCAATTACAAAATGTGATGTTGTACTCTTTTTACATCTTCCCAACTACTAATTGATTTGTCAAAACAATTACTCTCTAGTTTTAGAAAATTATACAATATAGTCTGAGAATGATTTATACATATTATGTACTCATATTAATTGTATTTTAATAAAATAATTTATATCTATCAAATGTCAAACAACATCCAAAATTTTAGCTTAAGAAGTTAGAAGAATACAATATCTGCAACAATATTCATATCCAATGTATGAGCTTCATAAACTTATAAGAACGTGAGTAATATAAAATGTCAACTTAATTTATTTTGTCAAATAATTTATTATAAATCATGAAAGACAAGGGGAATCAGAAAGATCATATACACATCCCAAATAAATATTAAATTTCTCTTAGAGAGTTTCTTATAGTAAAAGATTTTCAAAGTTATAGGATAAATTTAAGGGCAAATAACTTAAACGGGTTCATTGAGTGATATACTTGCTATGAACTCCACTCGTATAAAATTGATGCCACATGTACATTAAGTTGTGCTTTTGTTTAAGGGATAATTTTAGAAAACTCCCCCTCAACTACGGGGGGCATGTCAACCCACTCCACCCCCCTCCCCCACAAACTATTTAAAACTAAGTAAATCTCCGTAAAGTTTTAGGTGATTTATAGATAATCTATCTCAACCTTTGAATTTTTCATTTAATCCCTGTGAACATTTTTTACTTAAACATAACCTCTCAAAATTAATACCATGGAGTATTATCAATTATGTGATAAGTACTTGACTTGGAAAGACTAAAATATCCATCAACCATAAAAACAATTACCTTGGTTTTTACCAGATGAAAGAAAAATAGGTGATATAGTGGGAAAAAGAATCATAAATTGGTTGTGGTCCTTTTATTATCATTTAAGGGTTTCTTTTTTATTAAAATTGCTTTCTCCAAGATGGTATTTTGTCCATATTACATATTGAAGTAACTATGTTAAGGGAGTTTGTTAATAGAAATATAAAAGATTAGGTGGGTTTTTATGAGACACGCTATAGTTGAGAGGTGTTTTCTAAAATTGCATCAAAATTGAGAGGGGTTATCTATAACACCCCTCATAATAAGAGGGTTTTGTCAAATTGAATCAGTTGAGTGGGTTTTAAGACAGTCCCCATAGTTGAGAGGGTTTTTAAATATTAACTCTTCTTTTAAATATGGCTTATTTATAAATTGTCCCTCAAAATTTTAATAATTTAATATTAATCTCTAAAATTATGAGCAATTTTTAAAATTTAAGGTAATAATATAGAATTATTGGATATTTAAAATCAAGGAACTAATATCTAAATAACTTTTACATATTTGCTCTTACAGGCATTGTATTAAGTATCAGTCGATAAATTGCTATATCGATTATATATTGGGTTAAAGACTTTAGCTCGATAATATTTTATATTGTTTTCTTTTGTTTGGTGATTTTTTAGATATATCGGCCGCTATTAAAAATATGGCTGATATATCTCTTTGATTATATCAAGAAAATTGTGTCATTTTTAATTTGATTGTGGGCTCAGGTTTGGATCGTGTTTGGGAAACAAAATTAGAACCCACAAAACACACGAAAGGCCACAATTCTTCTCCCAAATCTCTCCACTCTCAGTTCTCCCAAATCTTAAGCATATATCTTGATGCAAGTTCTTATGTTTAAAATTCATTAATATGTTAGATTACATATACAATGTCATGTTATGTATGAATATTATCTCATATGACACCCATTATTATATACATATCCCTAGTTTTTGCAATCAGATATTGTAAATTTTATTTGTTCAATATTTATCTAATGACCAACACTTTGTAGTATTTCTTTGAAAACCTCTTCTAAAATTTTCTAACAAAAGTATATAATTTTAGGAAGTAATTCAAAATCTTGAGACTCATTCAAAATATGATGCTATAATTTTCCCACATCTCCTTTACTATATAGATATAAGCTATGCACGTGGCCTCATATTGTATGATGAATATTATTTATCAATAGGATCATATACTATTGTTTGTGGATAACAAAGTTTTCAAATCTTTTAAAGGCTTAACCGAACTTAAATACCTTATAATTTACCAAAATTATACTTATATACCTCCACTTGTATCTTAAAGGCTTAACCGAACTTAAATACCTTATAATTTACCAAAATTATACTTATATACCTCCACTTGTATATTGTTGCACTTTCTTTTTAATTTAAGATAGTGTATCTTGTTGCACTTAAATGTCCTAATGTTTGCTAAAATTTTATGTTTGTACATTTTTCCCTATTACCTAAACATAAGAATGCTCTTTGTATTTTTCTATATGAGTGTCATGGTATAATTTTAGGACAATTCTATGTTTTCTATTCTTTCCATAAATACTTTACTAACATGCAATTATCTATTAATATATTATTATACATTATTAATAATTAATATGATGTAGAGTTTTATAATAACTTTGGAAGTTTTAGGGACCAAATTATACACATTTAAAGTGACATATAATATCATTAATTAACAATGACAAATTAATTTAGTTTAGTTAGTATTGGAATGTAATATAAAAAAAAATAAGGGTAATATAGTCATTGGAAAGTTTTTCCACAACTCCTCTTTTAAAGGGAGTATGATTACACTTGTAGAGGAGTTCAAAAGACCCAAATAAATATGGGCCTATTAATGGACTGTTAGCTTACATGTATATAAGAAGATTAAACTATATGGAAAATAAACAAGTTTAGTTTGAGAG